TCATCCTTGTTTGAGGCTAATCTATTCATGTACATACATACATACATCTTATTCCTAAACTGCTGCTTAGCACGTTTCTTTAATTCACTATCAATATTAAAGCATACATTTAGGAGGCATTTCCGCCCCAACCATGTACATGTATGGCATTGGTATTGGTGTGACATTTGAATTGATTTTTTTCGCTCTATTTTAAACTAATTTGAAATTTTAAAAATTGCCTGCACATCAGCATCAAAATACCTTTCTAATAATATATAATTGTTTATACCTTAGAAGTACAGTTTAGCCGTAAAAGGGGTGTAAAGGAAACATGATTGCCTATTAATATAATTGATTTAAATGTACGTTTGCATACTTCATAAACCTTTTTTATGTAACATAATTGAGGGTGAATGTACAATATCCGAAATACTCCTTTTTAAGAAAAGCGAAGAAAAGTTGGAGTTTTTGGAATCAAAAGAAGATACAAGAAAAGAGAAGAGAGAAGGGGCACTGGAAATTCAACATAAAACATTGGCATTGCTTGAATTCCGGCAACAATTACCAGATTTAAAATATCCGCTGTTGAAAACAAGTGCGTGCCGTATATTTTCAATTTTGGTACAACGTATAACTTGAGACTTTGTATTCTACAATGAAACTAGTAAAGTCAAAATACCGTTCACAATTAGTTGCATTCGCGTGCCTGTTAAATTTTGAAAGTTATCAAAAACTATCAGCTTGCAATGTAGGAGAAATTGAGAGAGGAAAGTGATATTTCATTTTTAGGGGAAGCTGTAAGTTTCTGCTGGAAAAAGTTTTGCCAACACGAAAACAGCTGATCAAAAACACCTGGTTGAAATTTACGCAAATCCGTAAATTGAATTTGATGGTTTGGAAGCTAAAATAGTAAAATGCGACCAATTACCTTGTAAGAAGTAAGTAATTATTCGTTTAGTCAGTGAACTGTGTCAGGATAGTCTTATCCTGTTTCTGATTTGTTTTCTTACGTTATTAATTTTATACTTTTGAATGTAAACAAAACTAGCTATTTGTCTAACTTGCAAGTTTCTGCAAATTTTCTGTTCGCGTACTATTTTGAATATTTTTCTCTTCTGATAGAACAGATGACATTTCGCCGGAATTTTGCTGTTGAACATTTTTTACTGGAGATTTTAAACGAACGTATCTATTGACTAACCAACATTTAACAAAACTGTTACAAACGGCTTTAACTGACGTAAAACCAGATTTTGAAAATTTGAAAAGAGATCTTTTTAATTTTCTTTAATATCTATCTTACGTACATTCGTATAATAATAAAATCAATTGAGGGATTCACAACATTGACGTAAGTCTCATATTGTTGTATGTCGTAAACTTTAAAAGTTAAAATAAATGTTTAGATAACTAATAAATATTCATAATATGACTTTGATGGTACTTTGCGAACCCCCTTAATATATTTTTTAGCCGTTTAAAGTTTACGACATACTACAATACAACACTTACGACACCCCAAATGTTTTTCATTTCTAATAATAGTTTTATTTAAAAATAAAATTTTTGTTATTGTTGTTTTTTGTGTGGCTCTTTGTAGCATTTAGAATTTATATGTGGCTCTTGTCGGCCTCGGCTTTGCCCACCCCTGCAATATATCGTTAGTATAGTATGAAATGAAAAAAAATCCAAAATTCACTTTTTGATTGATTATGATGCATTTCTTCGATTCATAAGTCCCCACATCGTTTTATGCAATAAAAAATTTTAGTTGTGGCTTTTTTGTCACCCGAAAACTAAGCAGATTTAAGACTTTCATCGTCCGTAATTCCAATAAGTCAAATTATTATAAAAAAAGGGTGTCCGTTTAACAAAATAACAAGATTTTAAACTAATGCCGCTGGCAGCCACGGCTTTCAAAACAGAATTTTTTTCAAAATTTTCATTCCTAGAAAATAACAATTTATTTGTCATATCCACCTATTCAGAACCTCGCTATAAGCACACATTTTTCAAACCAGTCACAGAAGAAAGGATTAATTAATTACAAAAACTAAAATCGAAAGACGCTGATGACGTTACAAGTTGTCTAAAAACTGAAACAACCTAAATAGTCAGAATGAAAGATTCTTTGGAAAACAACGGTGTTTAAACAACGATCATTTGATGATGCTAGATTGGGAAGATGAAAGTCAGGAGGATACATCCGACACTTGCAGCCCCGATGCAATTGAGTTATTGCAGCGCAATAAACAAGTAAATATAACGGAAAGTCGTCTTAACTGGCGAAGCGTAGTTATTTAGTGGCGCAGGTTTTATTTACGACCCTTTGAGAAACAGGCTGTAACCCGAAAAGGCAACAACATTACTATTTGTTAAATACAATGTTCCAATTTTTAAATTCAAGTAATATAATAACATTATTAAAAATTACTAACTTTTCCATTTTTGATTACCTAAATTACCTAATTTCCTTACCTAAATTATTTCTTAAAAATACTTGGCATCCGCATCCGCATTTGCATCCGTGGATGTCTAAAATTTCACATTCGCAACATCCTTAGCACAAAGTATAATGTCCCATAACGCCGAACTACACAATGTTGACAATGTATACTTTTCCAAAACGCATTCGAAATTTATCGAAACGCTTCGCTAGAGCAATCAGCGCATCAGAAACAAAGTTGATGCTTGGTTTGTTTTTGGTTACCATTGGTGTTTTAAAAATAGAAAATTCAGAAAAATTGTTCATTGCTAAATTAAATATTTAAAATATGCAATGTATAAGGTTGCAATGTGTCACAACTCTGCATATACAAGCAGTTTGAATACCGCCATATAACAGTCTCCAAACATTGTATTGATATGTTTTGGAAGTCAGCCGATATGAATCGATTTCGGTTTGTTGATGCGCGAAAATAACTTATCAAAATAATTTCGTTTCGTTTCAGAGCTGAATTAACGAAAAAAAAACTAAATCGTTAACATCGAAACAAAATAAATCAACGAAAAGTTGATGTTGTATGCCATTGCCAGCTCACTATAAACACCTAGCAACTAAATGCACGCTACAGCTTCAGCATTAACGATTGAATTTCTTTTCGTTAATAAGCAAAATAGAATTATTTTGATAATTACGTAAACGACGAAAAAACTGAATCGTTTCAACAGAAACGATTAATTTTTTTTGGTAAACGCTAAAATTAATGTTACAATGCATCCTTGATACGACTTATTTTTCTTAATATTGTTGCCGAATTCACAGTACGCAGTTAACTACCAACAAAAATTGTATATATTTTTTTTATAAACTGTACTAATCATACTAACTAGGCGACTGCGAATATAAATCCCTAATTATAACCCAGTAAATGACAAAATTAGCAATGGTTTAACTAAGCACTGTGAATCCGGCCCGTAGTGGGCTTATATAGCTATTGAGTTAATCTTGCTTTGTGATATTTTCTAGGGTTTTCATCAACCTGGTTTATATGTACTCGACACTCTATTTTCCGTTTTTGTGATCGGAACATTAGTTGTTATTGTGTGGAGAGGAGTATGGGGTATAATGGATATAACTTTTTACCCCTTTGACAGAAAAAAGTCGTCTTGGAGCTCTTTGGTAAATATACTTTTAATAAAAAATAACTGCACGAGTATTTATGCAATTTATGAATACATAAATATTAGCCATCATAAAAAAAACATATGTATGTGTGCAGTGCACACCCGGTAAAAGTGAGACCTTAATAAAATTAAACTACGGGAGAATGAGACGAATGCGTTTGTTTGTTGTCATATTGGTACGAAGTTGATAAGTTCTTATAATTTTTCGTTTTAATTTTTCATTTTATTATTATTTGGACACATGTTCAAATTTTTACAAAAGAGACGAGTGGCTTATTGTAACTAAAATATGAAATAAATGCTTTAGTTTCCACGTGATCAATATTAATATGTTCATATCTTTCAAATACAGCATTCATTATTGATTTTGACCGTGTGGTCGATTCGGTGTGACTTCTGGACATTTTTAAATTTAATTTGATGCCGAGGAACTCAATTAAAGGGAGCGCTGAATCCACATTAAAATCCTTATTTATCTTTTTTAAGGATTTGCGATACTTCTGGTGTGTATTTTATTAACCTCTCGTGGATGAATTCAATAATTGTATTTACTGGTTGATTAAGAGAAATATAAATTGCCACACATATAACTGTTCTCTCATGGTCCAATCTGCTTCCACAAGCACATATTTCTCCCACCTTAGAAATTTGAACAGACATTGATTCCAGTTTTTGTGCATCGAGTTCTATTTGTGAAGTAACAATAAGGGCTCCGTCATGTGTGTTATGGTAGACTGCAACTCTAAAGTGTTCCCAATGTCCAACCACGCCTCTAAAAGAATTAGAAAATGGTGCTGAAAGCATACAATCCATTTTATATTGTTTCAAGTCGAATCAGATGCAGCCTTTGAAATTCAGCTTGCAACTCAGTTGTGGATACTGCTGCTCTCCGACCATTATAAAATTCTCTATAATTTTTATTTTATTTTTGGTTTGAAAGGAGATGTGGCCCTTGAAGCGATGCCACTCATGGTAATACGACATACAGGAGCTGTTGATCGTATGAGATCTCACGAAATGACCTCATTAGGACTTATAAATCGTTATCGCACACGCAGAGATCTCTTGTTACCACCAGTGGAGAAAGACTGTGCTTTTTTATTGATGCCGCTGCTTTTCTTCTGATTTTTTCTCCAATTTTGGGACAATCAGGGAATTCCAGCCATAAACGAGCACACAATACACAAACTTTTATCAGCTTATTAGTTACCCTGCGAAAATCGTTGACCATGTGGTTCATTTGTGCCATATTGGAGTACATACTTACGAAATGCTCCTCTGTAATGCAGTAGCAGTCCAACTCGTGTCTCTGGACCAGCTTATTGTTACCCGATCATTGCTCGATCGTAATCCCTACACGGTGTTTATTAGGTTTTGCCGAGAGGTAGATACTCCATGGAGTAATCCCTTGAAGAAGTGTTGTGCTACTCAAATGTAATGCAGAGTATATGGTCCTGCCCTAGGACATTGCAATATTGATTGGACCACATTGTCATACTCCTTAACCTGTCGGTGTACTCTTCACATGCGTTCATAGAGTAGTCGCGTTTTTGCATTGTAGCTTAATACGTACAAACATGCACACAAATTAGCGGCTGACAAACAGTGTTGCCACTGCCTTAGCCTTTAAAGTATCCATAAAAAATCGAAACCTGTATCCAAATGTATCCACCGAAAAAGCGGACATTTTTACACAGTACATCTATGGAAGAGAAACTCGGGACCTTAACAAACTTATTCCCATCCATAGACACGGATTTGGAAAACAAAGGCCCGAAGTTATAGTTAAAATTAGGTCGAATCGTAAAGTTAATCACAGATTTTTGACATAATTTTCAATGGGATACCTGCCAAAAAAGCTGCAACTCACTTTAGTTTCGACTTAATTTTGACTACCCGTAGTCTTTGTGTCCCCGATCTGTATCTAAGAAGGGAAAAATACTGACTACAACTACGGGACACAGTTTCCGCATGTTCGATTTTTATACCCGAGCGCACTTGTGCACAAGGGTATTATAACTTTGTTCACATAACGGTTGTTTGTAACAGGCAAAACGAATCGAGATAGATATAGACAAATGTATACATAAATGATCAGAATGAAAAGAGAAATCGATTAAGCGGTGACTGTCTGTCCGTCCGTCCGTCCGTCCGTCCGTCTGTGCACACGATAACTCGAGTAAAAATTGAGATATCTTAACGAAACTTGGTATGTGTACTTCTTTCGGGCGTAGGACGGATGGTATTGAAAATGGGCAAAATCGGACAATAACCACGCCTACCTCCCATATAACGGCAATTTTCAGAAATACGAAAACTACGATATTTTAGTAACTATTGAAGATTATTCACTCAAAATTGACATTTGCAATACAATACGTTTTAGACGAAAAATAAGATTATTATAAATTTTTGGAAAATGGGCGTAGCCACGCCCAGTTATGGTTACATGTATATATCTTGGTAACCGCTGCACCTTCCTTCCAAACTTGGCACAGTTGTTAACCTTGGTATAACATACGAAATGGACGAAAAATTTTTAAAATAGGACAATAACAACGCCCACATTTCATATAACGGTAATTTAGAATTAGATTTTAATGAAATTAGTTCAATCATCTCTTCCTTTTCTCCCGTGAATCATTTCATTTACGCTGACGACGTTTCCATTTTTTCGGATATAAAAGACCTAAGTCAAATAAAAAAAATATTCACTGACATACTGACAAGTATCGCAAACTGGGGGGAATCTTCGGGGTCCAACATATCCACAAGCAAATGCGCAACCTTCCACATTTGCCGAAAACATAAATGCTGCTTCCCAAGCCTATGCCTCTTTAATGCTCCCATCCCACATACTAACACTTTGAGAATTCTAGGCTTAATTTTTGACAAAAGACTTACTTTTAAGCAACATTGTAATTACCTAAGATTAAACTTATTATCTAGACTCAATATAATTAAATACTTAACTTCTAAGCACTGTTTAATACACACAACTACACTTGTAAATATAACTAAAGCACTTATATTATCCAAAATCGATTTTGGCGTTCCTATATATGGACACTGCGCTAAAGCACATCTAAACCTCATCACCTCACCATATTATACAACAGCTAGAAGAAGTATTCGCGCTTTCCCCACTTCCCCTACTAAAGCTGTGTTAGCGGAGGCAGGACTGCCAGAAATATCCCTACGGGTACTACAGACCACAATGATGTTAATACCAAGACTAATTCATTGTAGAAGCGAACCAATCTTTGAACTTGTTGACTAAAGTTTAAAACAAAGAAATAACACCAGAAACAAATCCACAGTAATGCGATGCTTAACCCTAGCAAACCAACTCACCGATATTGGTCCCTCCGGAATGGAGCCCAAACTGGCACATAAGCAGAAGCTTACTTATCGACAAGTTGCTCAAATTTCCTAAAAATTCCATCAGTGCAAATGAATATATCCAACTATACCAGGAAGCTATTTATCCCTAGAGGAAAGAATGGACATTTTTATTGACTGACGGATCAAAGACGTCCACAAGTCTAACATTTGCAGTTGCAAATGAGAGCGGTGAAACAGTAACCGTCGGTGCGCTACCAACATATTGCTCAGTGTTCACTGCGGAAGCAGCTGCTTTACAGGAAGCAGTCAAATTTGCCTCCAATACAGGATCTAAATACATTATATGTACCGACAGCAAATCTACGATTGAAGCTCTCATAAATGGTAATACAGGAGGATTACTGGTTGAACGCATACGGATGTATCTTTCGAAAAGCAATGGCAAGATTCAAATAATGTGGGTACCGGGTCACGTTGGAATCAAAGGGAATGTGTTTGCTGACGAAAAAGCAAAATTAGCTGCAAACCAACCTCTGCATCTATTTGACCATGTCACGGCACTAGACATCCGAAAATTAGCTCTCTCTTTTATCCACAAAAATTTGAAAATGAATGGACAAGTTATCACCACCATTATAAGTCCTTTAACCCTACGGGCACCAAACCTACCTACTCACCAGACTGTTCTTGCCGTAAGATAAGGATATTTGTACGTTGTAGACTAGGCCACACGACAATGACGCATACTCATCTCCTCAAAGGCTCCACCAAACCATTTTGCTTATTCTGCAACTGACCATCGTTAACAGTAGCTCACATCATCGACGAGTGTCCTGAACTCAAGCACATCAGGACAATAGTTTTCGGAAATACTGTGCCTTCCAACTGCCTCAAATCGACCAACATGGATAATATTAGTGCAATATCTAGATTTTTTCAACTTTGCAATATTAAAGACATATAAGTAAAGGTGGTTAATTTATAAATATATGTAGTTAATATCTATAAATTCTTAACTAGCTCCTAAGTTCAACAAAAGCCGAAGGCCCTGGCAGCCAGTGCTTTTAACTTCAGTGTAATAACTATTTATAGTTGTTTCTCTCTTGAATAAATAAATAAAACTAGGTATACGATAGAAGAATAAAATAATTTTAGTATCCCAAACAACTTATTTCAATGAGTCCGATACTGAGTAGTATCGATACTTTTTCCCTGATACNTGGTTAATTTATAAATATATGTAGTTAATATCTATAAATTCTTAACTAGCTCCTAAGTTCAACAAAAGCCGAAGGCCCTGGCAGCCAGTGCTTTTAACTTCAGTGTAATAACTATTTATAGTTGTTTCTCTCTTGAATAAATAAATAAAACTAGGTATACGATAGAAGAATAAAATAATTTTAGTATCCCAAACAACTTATTTCAATGAGTCCGATACTGAGTAGTATCGATACTTTTTCCCTGATACTTTTAAGGTATCGATACCATGAGCTCGATGCCAGAATGAATACTCAGTATCGATACCAAAGGCTGAAATTTCGAACCCTATTTGTAGCTGAGCACAATTTACCTTTTGCAATTATAGATCATTTAAATGTGCTTCTTAAAAATAGTATAACAGATGCAAAAATTCCGCAAAAGTTCTGCATA